AACACCTGGAATTTGAGGAGAAAGAGTTTTGCAAATTGGTTTTGCAACTATGTTTCAGGCCTTTTTGGGATGGATACTTAAGGATCAGCATATGGAACCCAGTGAGGCTTCGGATTAGACCTGAGTAGGACTGCACTGTAAATCTCTGAAAAAAAGAAGGAAGGAAGTTGCAAGCTCTTCCTTCCAGTGGGGAGAGACAGAAGGAACCATTACAGGTGAACGCAGGTTGTAAACAAAACAGAGAAATGTATCTCAAAGATGCTGCAAAGGATGAATGTCTATTACTAAATCAACCCAACACATTTTGGAACAAGTACCGTATATTTAGGGACACAGGTGGCGCTGTGGGTTAAACCACAGATCCTAGGGCTTGCTAATCAGAAGGTCGGTAATTGCTCGGTCCCTGCTCCTGCCAACCTAGCAGTTCGAAAGCACGTCAAAGTGTAAGTAGATAAATAGGTAATGCTCTGGTGGGAAGGTAAACAGTGTTTCCGTGCGCTGCTCTGGTTCGCCAGAAGCAGCTTAGTCATGCTGGCCACATGACCTGGAAGCTGTATGCCAGCTCCCTTGGCCAATAAAGCGAGATGAGCGCTGCAACCCCAGAGTCATCTGTGACTGGACCTAATGGTCAAGGGTTCCTTTACCTTTACCTTTTACCATATTTTTTCATCTATAAGACGCCCCCATGTATAAGACCCCCCCCCATTTTGGGGGACACAATTTTAAGAAAATGAAGAAAGATGGCCCAAAGTTGTTGAGCTTCTCTCCCCCCCCCCACAGCTGTGGGCAGGAAACACTCCCTAGATAATTTTCTGCACACAGTGGCATCGGGGAAAATTGCAGTCCTGCCAACTGGCTGGTGGGTGCGCTGCTTCTCCCCCCCCCCATGCCATTATCCGTGTATAGGATGACCCCAGTTTTTTGACATGATTTTTGAGTCAAAAAATCTTGTCTAATACACAGAAAAATACGGTATCTATTTCAAGGGTTTGGCAGAAAGGAAAAGAACAAGGGTTGCTAAACCATGCCCAAAACCTTTAAAAAGCTTTTAAACTCCAAGTGTGCATCGTTATAAGTAATTTTAAGTCATGTTAACAGAAAGAAACCCAGGACCAACCAAATCTTGTAGCATAAACGTACCATTTGTTTCTTTACAAACTGCTCAAAAAATACCCATTTTGATTGCATTGCAGGACAAAACTCCCAAGAAACTGACCTCAAATTGCAAACAGCTTGCAACCAGACCAAGATGTCTTAACTTTGCAAGAAAAAAAAAATGGGATCATGTGCAAATTACCAAGCACTTGTGGCAGTTCGAATCCCCACGACGGGGTGAGCTCCCGTTGTTCGGTCCCAGCTCCTGCCAACCTAGCAGTTCGAAAGCATGTCAGTGCAAGTAAATAAATAGGTACCACTCCGATGGGAAGTTAAATAGTGTTTCTGTGCGCTGCTCTGGTTTCACCAGAAGCTCCTTAGTCATGCTGGACAGATGACCCGGAAAAACTGTCTGTGGACAAACGTCGGCTCCCTTGGCCAGTAAAGCAAGATGAGTGCTGTAACCCCAGAGTCGTTCACGACTGAACTTAACTGTCAGGGGTCCTTTACCTTTTTAATGTGTTCTGATTGATATATATATATATATATATATTAAAAGTCTTTTTATATACAGTGGAAATTGGCTTATCCATACATTGCATAACCTTACTGCTCTTTTACTCAATTAATATATTAATTGAGATAAAATGGGGTGAAGTAAAGCTCCTCATTTTGGTGCTGAGGATGGCTGTGCATTTGGTTCATTAATTGAATTTCTTCCACACCTGTAGCAGAAACATGTGGTCAAATGCATTTCCAGTTGGACTGCCATAATGTTGATTGATATGGAAGGGAATGAATAATGAATACCTGTATATTCTATCTGGCACCAATGTGCGTGATTTAAAAAAAAAACCCAAAACACAGAGAGAGAGAGAGACACTGAATTAGTTGTACACGACATGTTTTGTGTGTAGCTTTCTCGGAATCAGGGACCTTTCCTGCTTACATTCAAGAAATGCTCCTGAATGGCAAATATCTTGCTTGTATGTATGAACTATTATTCTGATGGTAAGGTGACCACTAGCTGTCACTACTTTAAGCAAAAATTATGACACCGTCACATTGTGTCTTATGAGAAATGGTGTGTTCTCACAGGATATGAATGTCAGCCCCAAATGCTTAATGGCTGACTAAAAACACTTCAGTACCTTTCTATTTTCAAGGCACTTAGCTTCCATTTGCAAATTGCACTTTACCATGATTTCTTATATATATTTCCAGTTCGTTTTTAGCACCTCATCAGGACACTGCTAGAATTCCTGAAGTCATGTGTAATGAAAAGTGCTGCTATTAAGCTAAGAGCGAGTCTTTATCATAATTCTCCTATGGCGCAGTTTTCTTATTAATATATCCCAATGCAACCCAATTTGTGTTTAGCCATGTCTTAAACAAGACTCATGAGTTACCCTTGTCACATTGGATAAATATACCTGATTGCATCTCACATTATGAAGAAAAAACACAATAGCGGAATGCTACCAATAAGTGACTTTCTGTACCCCCCCCCCCATTAAATCACTGAACCATTAAATGAAACTTTCATCTGGTGTAATGCACGAGGGTCCATCTATGGTTGCAGTTTGATTTGCTAAAAATATCATACCAGATATCAGATATAGTGAGAAAAAAGTCTTCATAATCCTTTATTGGGGAAATTCAACAGTGAGGATGAATTAGTAGAGAACTTGGGTCTGTCTCACCGCAGGCCTTGTACATACCAGGAAGACATTCAACCAAACATACAGAAGAAAATCTCCCTCAGAACTACATGGCCAATCTAAATAGGTGCCACCTTATTGAAGATCATGCCACTCTAGTTCCCGAGCAACACTTCCTGTACTCCTCTCTTGGTTACTATTAACAGAAATAACCCTTAAGTTAAAAACTGCTGCTGCACTCCCAATGTTATTTACATTGCTTTAGTTACGTTATTATGTTTTCTACATGGAGCCACCTCTGAGTAGTGTTTGGAAACTGCATTTAGTGAGGAAAGTTGTATTCAGACTGCTGAATCTTGGATTCAAACAGAAAAAAAAAGACATTTGACATCTCTCACAGAGTCACTTTCCTTTGTTTCATTTAATGGCGCATCACCCAGGCTATCTCCTGAACACAGGAAGTTAGCCTCCTTCCTCCCTAACAAACTCATAACAATTATTTCAGCTTTGTTTCCCCCAACTATTCTCTTTAAATTTGGGATGTTTTATATCATTCCTTTCTTTTGAGAGTTTGTCCCAAGCACTGCATCAAAATGACCCCCCCCCCCATGTCAAGGGCACTTGGAGCAGCTTTTCAATCTCTTTCCATATTTGCTTTAGAAGGAAAAGGCAAAACAAATGAAGCGCTCCAATCTATTTCACCCTTTGATTCTACATGAATAGAAATGGAGATCTAACTACAATATTTCTCCAAAGACCCATTGGAAGAAGAAGAAATGAGAGGGAAAGGTTTAAAGGGGAGCACAATGTTTCCAAAAATCAAGACAGGACATGAAGCAATCTTTTTAGCTTTTGTTCTACATGGCTTATTCTGGTAAACAACAGGATTTCAAAATGTATGAACGATTTTGTTTCCTCCTAGAGTGGATAGTCCTAGCACACAAAAGGACAACCATCAGCGGCCAAAATAAATCCTAGAACTGGAGATGTTTCAAGGATCTGATCTCTGCGAATTTTGATATGAATTGAGCTGACTTAAACTAATGTGCAGATTTGAACTTTGGGATCCACTGGCTTTCACACTGCTTGATACTCCTTGGCTCGAAACAAATTTTAAAATGCATGGGAAATGCATATTTCAAGAGATAATACATTTTAATGCACATTTAAGTATGCATTTGCGTGTTCAGACACAGAGGCCTCCCCCCTAAATAAAGTCACACAACTCAAATTTTAGTTTTGGTCTTTGGCAGAATTTAGGCCACAACTTTATTGATTACAGAAGGTGAGTGGTTGCATAGGCTCTGGTTCGACTAGCTCCCTGCACGCTGGCAGCACTGACCCTGGGTACCAGCATAGGTCAGCTAAGGATGAACACCTGGGTAGGTGAAAAGCTGGGAATAGACTATGTTCACCACCCAGATGCCCCCCTAGACTCAGGTATGGGCACAACCCCCTCTCAGGGGTTGACCAAACCAGTTGAGTCCCTGGATTCCTTTAACGGAATACCCTTCACATAGGGATGGCATCCCATCCCTATCACCTGAACCAGTGCCTATCCGCAACCTTACAAGTTGTGGTGATTTGCTATGTGGCAGGCGAAACCCAAATGGCAACAGCCAATCAGCCAAGTGGGGAAATTCCTGCCGTGCCCCTGTCCCAATGACAGACGACACACGACGGCATAGCAAGGTCAATCGAACAATGCCCTATAAATAGGGAGAGGTGGGCGGGTGTTCCAAATGCACAAGCCAATAGAGGAAGCTCTGGGTCATGTGCATGGGTATATATAGATCCCTTGATCTGTTTGGATTGCGTCCCATTGGTCAGATTGAACCCAACATTGAGGGACCTACCAATCGGGTGTTGTGGCTAAACAATCCAACCCACCCACAACATAGGAGGTCAGTGTCCAGGTCTCACTGCAACACATGCCCTCTTTTAGGGAGGAAACTATTTACCTGCAAATTTTTGTTTGCTTCTTTTTAGTTCACAGGTAAATGTGCAAATCGAAAAGCCTTACAGATAAACACATGCAAAAGAGACATGGGTCAGAAATATACATTTTTAAAAATATACTGTTATAAGCATAAATGCAAACAAACAACACAGGTAACATATTATGTTTTAATGTTCATCAAATTTATAACTTCTAAATAGTCATACACTAATGTCATAACTTTATAAAATATATTATAAATATATAAAGAGGATCATAAATAAAAATATATTTTCATATAGGATCCTGTTTAAGTTCCTGTGATGTAAATTATTCATTATAATAACAATGAAAAAGCTTTAAATAATTCTAATAGATATTGTTGTTTCATCTCTTTAATAAAGGAGGACCATAAAGCTCTTAAATTGTTCATTTCTTTGTCTCCATTTAATTTACTCATTTTGGCAAAGTACCAATTTTTATTAAACCACTCTTCTCCTGTTCAAACTGTTACGGTAAGCCATTTGGCTGCTATCACTATTTTGGAAGCAGTTATCAAAACCCATATAAATTTCAGTGTTCTGATCTCACATATTCTGCAAGATTTTCCAGCACAATCATTAAAGGATTGATACGTATGCAGTATCCAATTATTTCTTGCATATGCCTAATTAACTTCTTTAAAAAAAAATCTTAATCTTCACACGTCACCAAATGTCCAACACATTCTCCTAATCTATGAGTATATATTTCAGAGATAGAATCAAAAAATATGACACACAGAGAAACACACACACACACACAAAGGCCCCATGGTAAACCTACTGTGGACGATATATTTCTTTCCAGATTTCATCTGAGACTTTTATTTCTAAGGACATCTTCGGTAAATCCGGGACTGTCTCTAGAAAATAGGGACACTTGAGGGGTCTGCAAGCTTAAGTGATTTATCTGAGGCTAGAATGTATCCCTTTAGATGACAAGCGGCCAAATATTTGGATGGTTCCCTACCAAAATAAACAGAAACACACTCCCTACAAGTATAGAAGTGGTACTTTGGGGGGCAGGCTAGGTTAAAACCTTCCCTCTAGCATGCTTGCTTTTTAATTTTCTGCAAGTTTTCACCTGGTCTGCTTAACATGAGAGCTACATTTGTATGATTCTTTTTAGCTGCAGCACAAAAGCTTGCCGTCAGAAACAGGTCACATGAGTCTACTGAAGGCTGTTGCTGCATTAGCTGAGGACTTGAAGTTCTCAGGTTACCTAAACCACATAGCGTAGAGAAAGGACTGCCATACGTCTGGATTTTCCCAGACAGAACCAGGATTTCAACGGTGGAATTGACGTCCGGGAGGAATTTCTGAAATGTGGCACTTTGTCCCAGATCTCAGACAAGTCAATCGAAAAATCGCAGGGCCTTTTTTGGAAAGTTTTGGGGTGTGCTGGTTTTTACTTTTTGAAATATAGCTTCCATAATCATCCAAGCTCACAATATAAGAGGAAATTATTCTATATTTTTTGTCAAGAAGGGGGAAAACTGTCCTTCCCTAAAGTCCTTGTTGATACCATTCTTTTCTTGAAAAAAAGAAAAGGAAAAGAATATTGGTTTTCAGAGGTCATCACAAGTCTAATGATTAAATCAATACGGGCATTTAGAGACTTAATAGAAATGAAAGTGAAACATGCTCTACATTTTGAAAAGCGTTTCCAAATATCCTCACCTTTCATCCAACAAGTTGTATGTGTCTGCTTAAATCACTGCGATTCACTACCAAGCTGAAAAGCTTCCTGAAAACAGGCACAGTTCTCCTAGCGAACATCTCTGCAAGGTTTGCCATATCTCAAACAGGTTGTAAGCCATACTTGATTGAAGTCAAAGTCGCCAGGATGAGAAAAAAGTCAGGTACACAGACATGGTTAAAGTGCAGGTTTATGCTGAATGTTTCAGTGATACATTTCAGCCAGCCAAATTGGAGTACGAGAACAGTCATAACAAGCACTTTCAGGGACACAGGCCAGATTACCCACTAATAGAGGCTCTGTGAGTAAAAAGTAAGATTTACTAGCAGAAAAAAGAACAGTTCTGTAGCTTTGTTTAAATGCTGCACGTACGGTTCTGTTGGAAGCAACTTTCAGGGAATCTAAAACTTAACACTTCACCTATGCCAACATGCCAGTCGCTACTCACCCTAGTAATAGGGTTGTCAAATTTGCAGATGACACAACCGTGATTGGGCTCATCCCTGAAAGGGAGGGTGAAACGGATTATAGAGATGAGGTGGAGCGGCTGACAGAACTTGCTCATAAATTCAAGGAAGACAAAGGAGCTTGTGGTGGACTTCAGAAGACAGAAGAGCAACATCCAGCCACTTTTGATTGATGTGGTCTGTGTGGAGAGGGTAACAACGTTCAGATTTTTGGGCATTGAATTACAAGAGGATCTGTCCTGGAGTGTCAACACAAGGGGCTTGTGAAGAAGGCGCAGCAGAGACTGTACTTTTGAGAATACTAAGGAAAAACCATCTTCCGCAGAAACTGCTGCTTGCCTTCTATCACTGTGCCATTGAGAGCGTGCTCACTTATGGCTTATGTGTGTGGTACGGAAGCTGTACTACCCAGGACAGGATGGGGTTGTGCAGGGTTGTTAAGGCAGCAGAGAGCATTGTTGGCTGCCCACTCTCCACCTTAGAGCAGATTTATGCCACAAGGTGCCATAGGAAGGCACTGGACATAGTAAAAGATCCATCGCATCCTGGTCACTGTCTCTTCGAGCTCTTGCCGTCGGGACGGAGATACAGGACGATGAAGACAAGAACGAGCCGTCTTAAGAACAGCTTCTTCTCCAGAGCGATCTCGGCCCTGAATGGGAAGCCCGGACTTTGAAAGTCATCTAATCTCCCTTGCTGTATTATACTGTATTGATTAATTAGTGTTTTTATGGAGCAATCAAGTAATTTCGTTGTCCCCGAAGGGGGCAATGACAATAAAGATATTATTATTATTATTATTGAAAACAGCAGACCCTCCAAGTGTCCCTATTTTCCAGGGAGGTCCCAGATTTAGAGAAGACATCCCAGTTTCTCATTTGATCCCGGCATGTCCCACTTTTCCTTAGGATGTCCCTATTTTCATTGGAGAAATGTTGGAGGGCAGGCATAGGCAAACTCGGCCCTCCAGATGTTTTGGGACTACATGGGACTTTTATCCATTTCCACAGACACACAATCAATCAATCAATCAATCAATCAATCAGTAGCTGAACTGGGTTCCACACAGTCACAAAAACAAATTAACTGAAAAGGCCTCAAAAACACAAAATAAATAGCAAAAACAGAAGAACCAAACTTAATCCATTCCAGGAGTCAGTTTTGAAATGTTCAAAACCAAGGCACAGCTTCTGATTGGTGCAGGCGCCCTGGAAACAATAGCCAACAGCTGCATCAGATGATCAGCTTCTGGAAAAAGTTCAAAAACCGGAACACTTACTTCCAGGTTTTCAGCATTTGGGAACCAAGGCGTTTGAGTACTAAGGTACCACTGTACAAAATCATTGTAAACAGGTTAAAACGTTAGCAGGATTTTAAATACACTTGTAATGTAACAGAATGTATAGACCGTGGATGTCCAACAGGTCGATTGTGGTTCGAGGACCCGACCCCCGCGATGTGAAATAAATACACAAGGACACGTGATATAAGGTTAATGGGCAAGAAAAGGCCACAACTTTATTGATTACAGCAGTGAAAAGGTATTGGCTTAGGCATTGGATGTCTAAAACAAGGGGGTTTATTCACCAGTAGGTGGAGCCTGTTGATGCTAATCTAACTATAGGCTCTCCCCTGATGTCACCGGGGGTCGTGCCATGGCCTCCCGCCAAGCAGGCATCGGACAGAGTACACAACCGCCAGATTCCTTTAACGGAATACCCAAAAATTGAAGGCATAGGCGATGGCCACACCCAGCCCTTCGACACACCACAACACATTATTCCAATGCCTAACCTACCCACCAATACCACAAAAAGTTGTGACGATTGCTACGAGGTAGGCCAAATGCCAAATGGAAAAATTCCTACCAGGCCCCCTAGACAACCAGGGCGACCAACCTAAGGTCCATAGCAAGGCCAAAGAACAAAGACCCTGAGCTAAAAGGGAGTGGAGGGTGGGTGACTCACGACGAGAGGACGGAGAAGAATGAGGCCGAGGAGAGGCTGGCACCGCCGCAAAAGGCTGCTGAACACGCCCCCTCGAAGGCACCTGGTTGGATGCCTGCCGAGGGGGCGTGGGCACCAGCGAGGTGAGAGGAGGAGGCAGGGGGCTAATGCCCCCTGCTAGGGGCGGTGCTCGGGCTCCCGCCCACAACCACTCCCCTCTCTTCCAGGGAGGAGAGTCTTTGTGATCTACTTGTAGATCCCCGGTAGGTTTTGGTAGATCATGGTCACTCGCTGGGTCCCTTTCCTTAGTGTAGGTAAAATAGAATCTGGACCTGTCCTGTCACTCCGCCCTTTATTGTTGCACGATCTGCAGAATGGAAGACGGAATTTACTCAGTGAGACTGTTTGTTTCCCTAGAGATGTTTTGATGAATGGCCCTTTCTTCCTCAAGTTTATGCTTGAATTCCTCCTCCCTAAGAAAAGCTCAACAACTTTGACCTGAACCCAAAAAAACAGGGCTTTCCTTCCTAAAAAAGGGCGGTAGAGCACTGCCAGTTTTTAATTCTGTGAGTAGATCACAATCTCATGGGAGCTGGCCACCCCTAGTATAGACAACTTAGGAAGATGAAAAATTGGAGAAGTATTGATATGCAGTTGGAAATAGAATCAAAAGGACCCATGGATGGGATGGAGGGGAAGTCAAGAGATTCAGAGTAATCTTGATATTTGGATTCTGTACAGTTTTAGGGTTTTTTGGTATGTTTTTGTTTCTATTTTTTATTTTATTTTTGTTTTTTTGAAAATGAAATAAAAATATTTAAACACAACAATAGGATGAAAAGTCTCTTCTGTTCCCTTGGGATGTTAGTACTTACAATCAGTGTTTTTTTTCTTTAAAAATGTTTAGGGGTACTTCCATTTTGACTCAAGATGATCACCATTTTATAGTTGAAATCAGGAAAAATAAATACAGTAAATGGACAAAAGTACCAAGATTCACAAAATGCCTGGGGTATGCTTACCCCTGCATCCCCCCAGAAAAAAAGCAATGCCTACAATTCCTAATAAGAAGGCCTCTGTGTTGTTGTTTTTTTAAAACAACAACAACAAAAGTTATTTTAAACATTTCTTTCAGTTCTTTAGATATCATTTCCCAGAAAGCCTTTATTACTCTACATGACCACCACATATGATAAAAGGTACCTTCTTTTTCTTTACATTTCCAGCAGATATTTGTACTTGTTCTATACATTTTTACTAGCTTACTAGGAGTCAAATACCACTGGTATGAATATAACCTTTGACCAAATACTCAATTCGTCAAATCTTCATTCCGGGTGTGAGGTTAGCAGCGTTCGTCTGTGGAAACACAAACCACTGATTTTTCGTCCCTGTGTGCTTGCCTGACAATTTATATTCATTCTGCAGACCTCATGCCGAATCACATTTAACACATTTAATGGTTCCTCTTCATCCTGGAGAAGAGTGACTAGTGGGGTGCCACAGGGTTCTGTCTTGGGCCCGGTCTTATTCAACATCTTTATCAACGACTTGGATGATGGACTCAAGGGCATCCTGATCAAATTTGCAGATGACACCAAATTGGGAGTGGTGGCTAACACCCCAGAGGACAGGATCACACTTCAAAACGACCTTGACAGATTAGAGAACTGGGCCAAAAGAAACAAGATGAATTTTAACAGGGAGAAATGTAAAGTATTGCACTTGGGCAAAAAAATGAGAGGCACAAATACAAGATGGGTGACACCTGGCTTGAGAACAGTACATGTGAAAAGGATCTAGGAGTCTTGGTTGACCACAAACTTGACATGAGCCAACAGTGTGACGCGGCAGCTAAAAAGCCAATGCAATTCTGGGCTGCATCAATAGGAGTATAGCATCTAGATCAAGGGAAGTAATAGTGCCACTGTATTCTGCTCTGGTCATACCTCACCTGGAGTACTGTGTCCAGTTCTGGGCACCACAGTTCAAGAAGGACACTGACAAACTGGAACGTGTCCAGAGGAGGGCAACCAAAATGGTCAAAGGCCTGGAAATGATGCCTTATGAGGAACGGCTAAGAGAGCTGGGCATGTTTATCCTGGAGAAGAGGAGGTTAAGGGGTGATATGATAGCCATGTTCAAATATATAAAAGGATGTCACATAGAGGAGGGAGAAAGGTTGTTTTCTGCTGCTCCAGAGAAGCGGACACGGAGCAATGGATCCAAACTACAAGAAAGAAGGTTCCACCTAAACATTAGGAAGAACTTCCTGACAGTAAGAGCTGTTCGACAGTGGAATTTGCTGCCAAGGAGTGTGGTGGAGTCTCCTTCTTTGGAGGTCTTTAAGCAGAGGCTTGACAACCATATGTCAGGAGTGCTCTGATGGTGTTTCCTGCTTGGCAGGGGGTTGGACTCGATGGCCCTTGTGGTCTCTTCCAACTCTATGATTCTATGATTCTATGATTCTAACATTTTAAATCAAGATTGGTCAGGTAAAGTTAGAACAATTTTCTCCTACTTAACACAAGGATGTGTTTCCTTTTGACACCCCATCCATCAACTATTTGCACCCCAAAGCAGCATGCCTGGTGTAATTGACTGCATGTTCAGAAAAGGTTTGATGCTGCAGTCATCCAGTGATGAATATGCGCATGAGACACAACCCTAAATGTCAGCCAGAACTGTCTTTCACTAAAGCGTGTTCTCCTTCATGGAGAGCACGTGTTGCAGTGGGGGCCGCCAGGACTCTCCAAAGTTGTGGGGCGGGCTAATTGACCATTGACCACTGATGCGGTTGGGGCTTCCCTTGTCGTTGGGAAGAAGTTAACGTTGCCATTTGTTGATTGACAGCCAGAAATGCTAAAACTCCTTGCACAAGGCTAGGGCTTCCTCTTTTCGCCCGTGCATCGGATTGCCCGTCCCCCCCCCTTCCTAGAATTAGGGTTGTTTGCTTTGACCTTGCTATGCCTGTCATGGGGTCGTCTGCTCTTGGGGCAGGGGCCCGGTAGGAATTTTGTCCATCTGGCTGATTGGCTGTGGCCATTTGGTTTTTGCCTACTGCGTAGCAAATCGTCACAACTTGTAAGGTTGCGGTTAGGCATTGGTTTATGGTTTGGTTGCTTGAGGGGCATGGATTGGCCGTGCCTGCCCCTCTAATGCTGTTGCTGCAAGGGATTCCGTTAAAAGAATACAGGGGCTAACTATTGCTTGTCCACCCTGTCAAGGGGGCTCGGGCCACTGCAAGAGCTCCTGGCTGCATTTGGGGTGGGCTGAGGGCAGGTTCCCTGCTCCGTTGCTAGCCACAAGTATATTCCCCTTTTCTGACTTTTGCAGGCATGTGGAATGTCAGACTGTCCCCCACGGTGGGGGCAGCTAGTCGCAACCAATGCCTAAGCAACCACTCACATGTTTGTATTTTAATAAAGTTGTGGCCAAAATTATGCCAAAAACCTTAAACAAAAATATTGGTGTGATGTGTGAGTTATTGGGGTGGCCCCGGGGACCTCGACACGCAACAGACATGTGGTGGAAACCAAAAGCATGCTTCTTCTTTTCTTCACGTTGTATCGGTTCCCATTTCCTCTACAAGCCGTTGTGTAAACCACACACACTCTTGCATTTTTCATTTCTTCACAAGGGTTAGGAAGATGTTTATCTGTCCCACGACACATTCGGCAGTAGTCAAGTTCCCCCCATATTTTGTGCTTTGCCTCTCACAGCCAATGACTCTCCAGGGTGCTATTAGGACCTTACCTATCGCAGAAGTCACCTTCAGCCGCCATGGTCTGTAAGCTTCGTGCATAATACGCACTGTGCTCTCCTTAACACTCCAGGAACCATTTTTATTTCTTGCTCTCCCAGGGTGTGCTGTGAGTTAAAAAAACTGGTCATCTAAGTGCACCTTCTAGGTTTTTAAGTATGGAAAGCACACAGGAGGAAATATTTCCTTTCCTTTGGGCTAAATCCAGCCCTCCGCCTTCCAGCAGTCCTGTTTCCTAACTAACCCTTGGGACCCTGTTTCAAGTTCATCTCAAGGAAAATATTGTCTGCTTCCTAGATAGTGGCTTTATGTCATTTCCCGGAGGGCAAACTCTTATAACGGAACAAGCTTTCTGTTTAGTACTGCTGGGAAACGCTAACCGCAATCTGAAATGGATGCTGTTAACTTTCTGGTGGTAAGAAACTTTCAGAGAGTCTCTTTGCAATGTGGACTTCACTCGACTTGCTTGCTAAGTCACAGGTTACAAGTCCCTTTTGTGTGTGTAACCTTTCCGAACCTGGTGCTTTCTCCAGATGTTTTGGACTTCAGATACCATTATACCTGACCTTTGGCTGCATTGGTTATGGCTGTTGGAAGCTATGAGCCAAATGATCCAGAAATCACCAGGTTAGGGAAGACTGGTATAGTCAGAGACAATATTCTTGTATCTAGAAGGCATACATGCAGCTGTGTATGTATGCATGTGTATTGATGTACAGTGGTACCTCAGTTTACAAACACTTCTGGTTACAAACACTTTGGGTTACAAACTCTGCTAACCCGGAAGTAGTACCTTGGGTTGCGAACTTTGCCCCAGGATGAGAACAGAAATTGTGCACCGGCGGCATGGCAACAGCGGGAGGCCCCATTAGCAAAAGCGCGCCTCAGGTTAAGAATGGTTTTGGGTTAAGAAAAGACCTCCGGAACGAATTAAGTTTGTAACCCGAGGTACCACTGTGCTTGTATCAACTAAATAAAGGTTAGCTAAAGTATTCAGATTTAGTTGGGAGCATCTTCTACCTGTAGAAGTTTGAATTATGTTTCACATCCTCAAGCATCCCTAGAACAGGAACTGAGAAAGGGATTTTTGACCTTCAAGATCTGAAATCAGTTGTCTACAGTTTTCTCGCAGAAATTATTAGCCAAGGTCTGCATTAACTGAATCCCAAACTACGTTACTGTAAATGGATGCACAGGAAGGACTTAAATCTCCTCCTTCAAGCAGATGAAAAATGCATGTAAGCTGAAAAAGGATGCTTGCTGTTCTGTAGGATTTTGAAAATAGGGATGTGTGTGTGAAAACAACCTTTTTTCTGCATTGGAGGGAGAATTGATGTGAGGTTATTTGTCAATTCAAAGAGTCTTAAAACTTCAGGCTGAGATCCATTGACTGAACCAAGTTTACCAAATAGTCCCTGAGCTCGCTGATGTCCCTTTCTTGCCTATCAAGACCCCCCCATCTGGACCTATCCTTTTTCACCTGTGCTGGGAGTGGCATAAAAATCAAAACCAGATGCAAGCTATTCGTGTTCAGAACCAGCCTGCCAGCCATGCTTTCCAAGGAATGGGATGCGGGTGGCACTGTGGTCTAAACCATTGAGCCTCTGGGGCTTGCCAATCAGAAGCTCCATGGTTTGAATCCCCGTGGTGGGGTGAGCTCCCATTGCTCTGTCCCAGCTCCTGCCAACCTATCAGTTCGAAAGCATGCCAGTGCAAGTAGATAAATAGGTACCGCTGTGGTGGGAAGGTAAACGGCATTTCCGTGGGCTCTGGTTTCCATCACAGTGTTCCATTGTGCCAGAAGCGGTTTAGTCATGCTGGCCACATGACCCGGAAAGCTGTTTGTGGACAAACGCCAGGTCCCTCAGCCTGAAAGCGAAATGAGCGCCGCAACCCCATAGTCGCCTTTGACCGGATTTAACCATGCAAATT